ATCCCTAATACTTCGATAAGTGTAATTTGTTAGCGAAGTGAGCTGTGGATCATTGTCACTTGTTAACAATAGATGAACACAAGGAATTCCATTATCTGCTAAGTGTTCAATATTACGAATACGATAGACTGTTCCCATTGTAAGCAAATATTCTGATTCAGCACCTCCTATTATAGGATCAGCGAAAGCAAACGGAGCCGAAGTCGTAGCATCATGAACTAGCGATATGGCAAAGAGGACCGCCATTTCGTTCCTATATATTTGTCCAGTGCCTGCAAAAGCAAGAGCTAATTCTTTATTTGATGTTGTAGATAAGAAACTATTCACCGAAAGCAGACCACCAGTATGGTTCAAAATTTTCTTTTCAAATTCATTCACTGGCATAAGTACGCCGCGATACACAGTCGAAGGTACCATAGTATTTTCAGAACGGATTTCATTTTCGTAAAGATGAACAATTTGTTGATGAAGGTCGCGAATAAAAATACGCATTTCCACAAGTAGTTCGACATCGTGCTCACGTAATGCTTTGTTAACAAGTCGATACAAGAAACTATCCAAAGCATACCAATATATAGGTGTATAATTTTTATATTGGCTTTGAAGTCGTTCAATAAAGTCTAAATGTGATCGACTGTTCGGATATGATTGACGGAAAAAACTGATCATCTTTTTAAATGCATCATCGTAAGTGACATCCTCTGTTTCATATGTGTCAAGTAAAAAAAGCTTTAATAATTGCCCATACATAAACATAGCTTCTTGTTTATTTTTTCTCTGAATTAAAGTCACTGGAGTCATTTCTGTACCGTGCCACACATCAAAACCAAGCTGTTCATGTTCGCGTTCACTTTGCAGCATTCGTTGTTTTAATTGTTCGTAAAAGCAGGCAATAGCAGTAAATCGTCCATAGATTTTTTCGTCATTTTTCAAAAGTGATATTGAATCCTCATAGATCTCTTCTTTAAGAATATAAATACTGATAATGTTCGGGAAATCGTGTATAGTCTTAAGAATAACCTCGCTACTCTCATGTGTACCACTAAGAATGAGGAAATACAGCATTTTCTGTTTTTCATCATTTGTGCTGGTTAGGAACTCAACACACTGATCAGCATCTGAGAACCGTTCGAGAGGCGCTAACATATTCAGAGTTATATTATCGATGTAATCTGTTGGAAGGCATACGCCACCGTCGAACCAAACAATAACGCTATTCTTAACAGTTCTACATGATGCGATAGTTGTTGATGAGACTGAGAGAAGTAATGGAGGCTTTGAGTCAACATCTGTTGTCATGCTTCACGAAGCCGACTAATAAAACAATATATAAATATAAACCGTACTGCTGCAATAATATTCGTTCCGATTTTGAACAGGATTTTGTAAAACTTCTTCGAAATAAAAACCAAGACCTAGTTCATAAAATAAAACTAGTCTAGACCTAAATATAAATATTGACGAGTGTAAAAGATCGAATCAAACTAACAACTTAAATAAAATATCACTGTATCTTTAACGTACCTTATCTAACTTTAAGAGTTATAAAAACAAAAGAAAAAATAATTTAACAACTTGGATCGAATACCCACGGATAGTGAAAAAAAGATGAACTAGATTATGTTATCGCTATGCAGCAGAATGGATCAACAATAAGTACAGGGTTGCGAAAAATGTTTTGTCTGTGGGATGCAGCACAAATGACAAATGATATCAATATTTAATTTTATACCAAATGAAAGCTCGTCGAAAACGGGATTTATTGATACTAAATAGTAAGAGTTATCAAAACTTTTTAATGACTAATTTAATAAATTTTCAGAAAGTTTATCCTTTTTTGGCTTACAAAATTAAGGCGCTAGTAATTCAAAAATGATGTAAACATATTTTCGTTGATATGTTTACACGGTTCGATAGAGCTCGTCGAGCTCTACAAAACTGTATATATTAAATTTTTTTTAAGCCATTTTTCTGAGATAAATAATTCAAAAAACTACTTGGAAAATCTTGAAAACAGTTAAAAAAACTCATTTTTTTATATGGAAGAAAAAGATTCGATTTTTCAATAAAATTAGCTTTTTTCATTATTTTTACAACTACAGACACTTC